TCAGCAACATAGCCATTATGCCAACTGCTGGTCCCGTATTTTAGTTATTTAATCATGTAGAATTTCACAGCTTTTAAGTTCTTTGTACAAAGAAGTTGCCACCAGCCAAGTATTCCAAAGCTACCTGTGAAGTAGGACTCTTGTGATAAAATATTCTTAATATTTGCCTGCTAGTGACTACTTAACCTTTCTCTTGTTGCAGCACTTTATTATTGTTATATCATGGATTGTTGCAATAACATTTAAGTTTATAGCCCCTATTCTCTAGAGAAGATTGATAAATTTTTAATGAAACGCACTATTTTGTATGACAGCATGTTTGAAATTACACTTTATCTAAACATTCAGTTGATTCAGTTGATAGTAAATGTTTAGTAATATATAGACTTTAACAAGCAACCATTAAATAGATCTTTGGAGTTCTGTGAATGATTGCTTTCCTCTCTTTAGTTGTGAGAAAGTTTCACCCACAAATTTTCCACCGGGAAATAATTAGATGATGGCCATGGGGATGAGTTGGATAAAGATGTCATATAAGCGAGGGTTAATGAGCCAGCCAGCTCTGAATGATTGACAGTTCAGCCTCATAATTTATACACTTTCATAGACTGTTTTTGATGTTCAGGGTCCTATGATTGTAAAGAATATGAATACTGTACATTTTCTTGATTATTTCTAGTTGGTTGATGCCCAGTGCATTTTATTATTCATAAGAGCCATAAGGTAGGGATTACCTTCTTTCTTATAGATGAGGAAGTAGAAGCCTGTAGGTCTCACCTAGTCTGTGGTAGAGTCTGGAGTCACAGTCAAGTTTATATGACTTTAAACCCCATATATTTTTTTTTAAGAATTATTTTATTTAACTTTATTTATTTACTTATTTTTAATTTGACCAGAGAGGGAGAGGGAGAGAGCGAAGGAAAGTGAGAAAGCAAACTGCCAGGTCCAGGACTTGAACCATGGTCTGCCATGTGGGAGTTCAGTGCCCTTACCACACCATCTGCTGGCCCCTAAACCCCATATTCTTTACCCTGAATTTCTCTATGATGTAACTAGGTTCGGGTTTTAAACTCTTCTATTGTTTGTGCAAGTAATTTCATTTCTTTTTCAGCTTTGTTTTATTTGTTTATCAACTGGGAATATACTACGCAATTCTATTAATTAAAAGCTTTAAGTGTTATTAAATACTTTCTAAGATATTTGAAAAGAGTTTATAAGATGTAGAGCGTTTTTTCTCAAGAACTTATGGAGTTTTTGTTTAGCATCCATGTATTGTCCCAGTGATATTCTAGAGGAGAGTGAAGTTATTTTTCTTAATAGAAACTCTTAAGTGCAGGGACAGTTCTGTAAATTGCTTCCTCTTCCTGCTATTTCATGGGGGAGAATACAGTGGGTGTGGGGGGGATGAGATATCACTGATGTTACTGATCTTAGCAGTTTAACAAGGTAATATGTGTTGAAAGCTCTTTATAGACTTTGGAGCATTGTATAAATGAAAGGTATTATTCTATTGAACCATCTTATTTATAAGTGAGAAAGAAGAAGCCATAGTGATATTAAGTGACTACTTAGAATATTAAAAATATTATTGTAATATGTAAGCCTGCTAATTCAAGTAGAGCTATTAGAAAGTAAAAAGCCTTTTTCCACCATTAGTGAATCATTGGAATTGGGAAGCATTTAGTGAGTGAATGATTTATCTTTTCTCTATAGATTCCTGCAAGCTGGAAAAATCCCTCAGGCAGATATCATATTGGCATAAAAAATGGCTATGACTTCTATCCCAAAGCTCTTAAGGAAAGAATACAGGTAATGTGCAATGGCGTATCAAGTCCTTGTATTTCTTTTTCTTCAGATTTTATTCCTACTGAAGAAAAATAGATTTAATACTTATTTATTTGGGAGGTGAGTTGGCTTTCAAACAATGTCTACTTTATAAAAGACTTCTTTCAGAGACCAGCAGTTAGCGTAATGGCTATGTCGCTGGACTCCCACGTAGTCGACCGCGGTTCGCGTCCTGGACCCAGCGGCTTAAACTCACGCCGGGCGCGTGTGTGTACGTGCCTAAGATCCCGAGAGGAGAATGGAGGAGAAGGGATTGTGGCGTGACCATCCCCGCTGGGGGGTGATTTCTCGTTTTCTGTCTCTCTGTCTCTCTCTCTCTGTCTGGCGAGCGCACACACCCTATAGCAAAAAGCCTCTCCAAAAAAAGAAAAAGAAAAAAAAAAAAAAAAGACTTCTTTCAATGGAATGCTATCCATTGAAAGGAGTTATGGTTCTTGGGTACATGAATACGGTTAGGGAATCTGACTACATTGAAATATATTAAAATTTTCGTGTATTTATATTTTCTGAGAGATGGGATATGGCTTTTATTGGATTTATTTTAGGACATTTTTACTTGAAAATAGTTAAAGAGTTGATTTGAAGTCCAGACTTTTTAATCAGCATAATTTATAACTTGTATAATAATTTGTCCCACATTTCTTTCAGTTAGTCATCATTCAGTGTTAATGAAAGAACTATGACTGCTGAAGTATCATAAACACGGATCTGTCGTTAGAAATAACAAGAGTTGTGCTGAGGCCAGCAGATGGTGCAGTGGTTGTACTTCTCACATGTGACCAACTGCAGTTTGAGTCCCAAACCTAGTGGCTTGAAATTCACACCAAGTGTGTGTGCGCTCAAAATCCAGAGAGGACAATGGATGAGAGGGGCCATCTCCCAGGGGGTGATTTCTCACGTCTCCCTGTCTCTCTCTGTTTCTCGAGTGAGCACATGTGCCTTATGGCAAACACCTCTTTAAAAAAATAAGAAAAGAAAAACAAGAGTTGTGAATAGCCTGCCAGGTATCTTGCTGTAGAATGGTGGTGTTTAATGGAACTTTCTGTGAGGGTGGGAATAACTGAAATGTTCGATATCTGCTTTCTCCTTTATGGTAGCTACTAGCTTCAGTAGCTTTTGAGAACTTGAAATATGGCTAGTGAGAAATCGAAACCTTGATTTTATGTACTATTTTAACATTTAATTTTACATACTGTTTTAAGAACTAAGTTTAAATAGCAATTTGTGGCTAGTAGCTCCTTTAGTGGATGTTGCTGCTTAGAAGACTGCTGATGTAGGTAAGTCCAAGATTTCAACTGTAAAACTAGATGCAATTCTTGAAAACGAGCCTGATGGGTAAAAGTGTGGGCCCTTTCATCTAATCACATTTGCTTTCCCAGGGGTCTGTGATCCATGAGAAGTTACTTACTATATTACATACATGACAGATGCTAATCATTTGCCAGGAGTGGGGTGGGAATGGGGACAAACAATGCATATAAAGTGTTATTAGAGACTATTTTATTATAAAAGTTAATTCTGAAATAATTGGCTCTCTGGCTGTCACAACATTTTTATGCAGTATATTAAATTTAATCAGTTTTGTTGAACGGGTACAGATTAACATGCAAATACAGTGTGGTTAAGTTAAAATGAACCCTTACTGGGGCCAGCAGTTGGTGTAGTATATAAGGCATTGGATTCTCACAGGACTGAAGGCGGTTTGAGTCCCGGACCCAGTGACTTGAAGCTCACACCAGGCGCATGTGCATTTGTGCTCAAAATCCTGATAGGAGAATAGAGGAAAAGGGATTGCAGTGTGACCATTCCCCCTGGGAGGTGATTCCTTGTTTTCTGTCTCTTTCTCTCCAGCAAGCACACACACTCAGTAGCAAAAGTCTCTCAAAAAGAAAAAAAAAAGTGAACCTTTTCTTTAGCTTAGTTGACTATTTTACTGGAAAGATTCTTTAACTAACAGACTTCTATTGGGAGACAGTCTGGGATAAAGACAGTGGATAAAAGTTAAGGTCAATATCAGTAACACAGAACCCTATCAAGTCAAAGAGGGTGCTAATTAAGAAAGGGAGGAGGCCTGTGAAAGCATAGCTGTAGTCTTCCTCTAGCCTTTTGCTTAGAGCTGGCTACAACATTTCCCGATTTTGTACAGGCCCCAAATATTTTCTTACTTTACATGATTGGAAATTCAGTCAGATTTGCTGACATGGTAGGTAGTATGTGTTCTGGGAGATGGGACAGAATTTAAATTGAGTGGATAAGATATATTTTTTTTAAAAAGACATTTGTTTATATCTTGGTAAACTTGTGCTCCCAAAACCTAGGTATATTGAATAAGCTAACCAATTTTTAGTATTTAATCAATTGTTTTATTAACTTTATTATAAAGGACTTATTTTTTTTTTTCAATGTTTGCCATAGGGCACATGTGCTTATCAGAGAGAAGAAAAAGAGGGAAAATGAGAAATCACACCAGGGGGGTGGCCACATCACAATCCCTTTTCCATTCTCCTCTCAGAATTTTGGTCACACATACACACACACATGCCCAGTGTGACTTTTTAACCCAGTGGGTCTGGACTTGAACCATGGCTAGCCAGCCATGTGGGAATCCAGCTGCTTTAACCACCATGCCCCCTCTGGCTCCTATGAAGGACTTTTTAAAATTTCTGCATGAAAATTATGTAGCATCACAATTGGTAACAGGAAGATCACATATACCAACCATTTAGATTTATGGACTATCCATTAGCCTAATTGTAAAATTTTTGTGTCTTTGCAGAAAGAACGGAAGGAAAAAATCTGGGACCCTGTTCACAGAGTGGCCCTTGCAGAAGCCTGTAGAAAACAAGAAGAATTTGATGTTGGCAGCAATGGCTCTTCTCAAGTTGGTGCTAGTCATTTTTATTTAAATATTACATTAGAACCACATTACCAGAGTTCTAAGAGAACCAGTAAACTGTTGTTTCACAAATTTTCACTGAAGTTAGTTAATTTTACTAATTTTTCTTTAATATTTACTCAGACGTCAATTTACATGAACAACCATCAGTTTTTAAAGTCTTTTAAATTAGTTACCTAATCATAACTGTGTAGTTATGAATCTCCCATATAAGCTGCACCAGGAAATCCCTCTCATGCCTCTTCCTTTTTTTTCTTTTTTAAATAGGGAATGCTTCACGAATTTGCATGTCATCCTTTTACAGGGGCCATGCTAATCTTCTCTGTATCATTCCAATTCTAGTATATGTGCTTGCCAAAGCAAGCACTCACGCCTCTTCCTAATCACTACTTCTTCCTTCTCCCCAAAACCGTAGCCATCCCTTTTTCTAATACTGTTAGATATTTTTGCTTTTTTTGAATTTTGTGTAGATATTTTTGCCTATTTTGAATTTTGTGGAATGGAACCATTCACTGTGTATTCTTTTATGTGTGTCTTCTTTTGCTCTACATGTTTGTTCATTCTTGTTATAGGTTGTAGCAGTTCATTTCCATTGCTCTATGATATTCTGTAGTACAGGTGTACCACAGTGTATCCATTCTGCAGACTGCTGTTTAATTTATTTGCAAATTTCATTATTAAGAACAATGTTATTTTAAACATTCTTTTATATGTCTTTTGGTAGGTCATGAAGTAGTTTTACCAATTAATATTTTCACAGGAAGTATATGAGAGTTCCCATTGTCCTACATCCTCACCATTAAATGGTGTTGAATCAATATATAAAATGAAAGTAATGACTGTTATGAAAATAGTATATTGCATATAATATAATAACTTTGCACAGCACAAGTGTGTAAAGTAACAGATGAAAAGCCTTCATAATGCTATCCCCCAGGGATGATCACTACAACTTCATGTTTATCCTTTTGAACTGTTACTTCATTACTTGTGTGTATCATTTCTGAATAAAAAATTTAATTGTATTAGTGATTTTCAACCCTGGTTGCTGTTAAATGAAGAACTTTTAAAACTGCCAGTGTTTGTGTCCTACAGAGGAATTAAAACCTTGCAGGTAGGCAGTTATTTTTTAAAACTCCCCAGGAGCTTTAATTAACATACAGCTAGAGTTGAACTTTTCATTGGCCAGCCTACACCTATGTGGAAATCTAACCGCTACTTAAAGTACGCTTAGCATCCTTTTCAAGTCACTGTATACTTTTCTATTAAATTAAATGTTCGTACTTCTTCAGTCTCTTCAGGTGTTACATATATACAGCTAAGTCTGTAGAAAGGGAATATCTGGATTTCATTATCAGTTTTCTCACATTTTATATACCAAAAATGTTTATGTAACTGGCAATTTACAAAGGACATATAAATGTTAAATATTGAATAAAGAGAGATATAAAAAGATTTTTAGAACATGTAGAAATGAAATGTTTTTTCACCACTACAATTTAGGTGAACATAGAGCAATCTGATATAGTATATAGTTATAAAAAAGACTTGAATGAAGCATATGAATTGCAGATCAAAAATGGTTAAATAGCAACTTTGTATGATTCAACCTAATATTGTCTGTAACAGCATGCAACCATTATCATGTCTTGTTAAAGGGGATCTCAAAATATTTCATTGTTCAGTTAACATATTAGATCTCACAGTCCTCATTTTCAAACATGGGGATTACACTCGTTCCCAGATGGTGATTTGTGGAACTGGTACCAATGGGTTGATTGTTTTCAAATCATTTGGGGAGCTTTAAAAAACTGTTTGGATTTCTGGGCATTGTCCTCTAGATTCTGATTTAAAGAGTGAGGTAAGTTGTAGACTATGTCTTCTAATTGACTTTCAAATCATGATGATTTGCAGTGAAGTTTGATAACCACTGACCAAGACAGTCTCCTATTATACAGTTTCTGATGGTGTAATCCTTCAAGGGTTGTCATGAGGACTGGTGACTTGCTCAGGATCGCACAACTAACAACAAATGGCTGACCTGGGGTTGCAGCTACATTTCTTGGCTCTAGGATAATACTCATTATGCACTATTCATAGAAAGCAAATTGGTTTTAAACATTAAGTGCTTTTGATTATGAGTGGCTAACGTTTTTTTATAGAAGGCTAGAGAGTAAATGTTTTCAACGTTTCTGTCTTGACTACGTAGCGATTCCCTTCTATCCTCAAACGTAGTCATGTATGACTGAACGTCCATGGCTATTCTAGAAAAGCTATATTTACACAGCCATGTCACAGGCTAGAGTTGGCCCAGGTGCCATGATTTGTCAAGCTTTGTTGGGTCTTAATTCAGTAATTTTATAGTGAGTCTAGAGGGATATATTTTTTTTAACTATTGGATGTCTTTGAAGACAATAATTGTTTCAGCTTCAGTGTGAAGATGTTTATCTCATAATTTATTATTCTCTATTTAAACTTGTTATTTCCTATTTATTTGGATTCTTAACTTGCCGTTGTTGATCCTGTTAGTTACAGAAATGTTTTGGAGACAGGTAGCATATGATAGTGCCAGTTATTAATTTAGTTTGTACATAATCTGTTTTAAAGCACTTATTTACATTCGCAGACATGGAATTAAAATTTAACTTACTCCATGAAATCCTTCTATGTATTTACAAATTCTGAAAAAGATTTTTTTTTTACTGATAATTTTGTAAAAAATTTGGTTATTTTTTATTGCATTATTTATTCAGGTTAAATAAATTTGAAATAGAAAATGGTCCTGGTATGAAAATCTAAAAATTGACAGATAACCTATTTTTATAGCCTTTTTTCTTTAGAGTTACTTTTGGAAACAACTTATACAGCTTATAGGTATATCACTAACACATGTCCTGATCAAATGACATCAACAACATGTAGCCCAAATCAAGTAGAGTGAGTGACTGCATGAAAGATTAACGAAGTTTTTTTTTTAATGTTAACAATAATTGATGTCTGATTCATTAATTTGGACTATGAGTCACATAGATATTTTCTCACTTTTTTCCAGGGTAAAATGATTTTGCTATTGGACAATATTGTGTCTTTGGTTATATGTGTTAAAAACTTCAGAAGCACAGAATGTACTAATACTTGTTTATTTTCTAATTGCTTAGACAAGTAAACTAGTCAAGGAGGAACTTCAAAGTCAGGTGGAATTGCTAAATTCTTTTGAGAAAAAATACAGTGATCCTGGCCCTGTCTATGACTGTTTGGTGTGGCATGATGGTGAAACCTGGAGGTATACTTTATTTTACAAATCTTCATTTAAAAATATTCTTATGGAGGTCAGCAGGGCATGGTAGTTAAGGTGCTGGACTCCCACCTGCTTGGTTGTGGTTCGAGTCCAAGACTGGGTAGCTTGCTTTCTCTCTCTCTCTCTCTCTCTCTCTCTCTCTCTCTCTGTCTCTGTCTCTGATAGTGCACGTGTACTATAACAAATTAAAAAATAATTTTAACAGTGAATAAAATTAAATGATAAAAAAGAGAACATTCCTTTAAATATGTTCTCATGTATCCTGAACAATGTGAAACCCTTAGTTTTGGTTTATGTAACAGTATCACTCAGTAAAACTGTTTGAGAGCCACACTAGCCTTTGAGTAGTTGTAATCAAAGCTTTTGAACATCTTAGTTCTTATTTTGACAGTAAACCATACCTGTGTCTCTTTCAAAGACATTTATAAAGTATTAGCGAGCTGGTCATTCTTAAATGGAGAAACACTCCTAATTGAAGCTGGACAATTTGGATGGTAACTCAAATGAATGTTGCAGTTCCTGTAAACATTTTAAGGGCAAAGGAAGAAAGTTGGATGATGATTTTTAAGTAAAGACAGTGTAGTGAAGTTGAGACTTGGCAGTGTAATGTACAGTGGTTCAAATTCAGCCTGGAGTTAGAATCCTAGTTTTACAACCTTGCACACATTATTTGAACCTAAGCTGGGTTTTATTCATCATTTAATTCGGGTAATAGTAGTATTTAGAATTTTGTGAAAATTTAATTTGATGTTTCTAGACATAGCATTCAATAAATGTAAGCACTTCATGCTGCTGCTGTTTTTTCTATTACTACTGGTAATAATAATATTTATACCAAGTTATTTATCTACATTTTTTTATTTCATTCTTAGTGGCTCATAGACCGCAGATGTTTTTCTTGGAGTTGGTTACTGTGTCTTCTTGAGTTACTATCTGCATGAAAGTAGGAATATGTTCTAGTACAAATATTTAGCTGTATGCTTGTTTTAGTAAATCAGGACTCCTTACTTAAAGCTTGTAATCAAGTCTCGTAGCATAGCAGAGCAGTTGGGCACTTTGCAGAGGAATTTGGATCCTGCATGGCCGACTGGATTTGAGTCTTGGACCTCCATCAATTTCATTTTTGGCATGCATTAAGTGTGCCCAAGATCTTGGCAGGATGGAGAAATGAAGGAAGAGGATTGCAATGTGAGCAGGCCCCACTGGAGATGCTGCTCCCCTTCCTTTTTCTTTCCTCATGCATGTGCCCTCTAGCATTAAAAAAAAAGAGAGAGGCCAGCAGGTGGTGTGGTGACTAACGTGCTGGGTTCCCACATTGCCGGACTCTATTTCAAGTCCCAGACCTGCCCCAAATCCTGAAAATGGAGGAGATGGAATTGTGTTTTAACCATCACCCCAGAAGGTGCTTTCTCACTCACTGTCTGTCTCTGACGAGAGAATTGCACCCTTTGCCAAATTAAACTTAAAAAAAAAAAATTGTTGTTTTACATGATGCGAACTGAAGTCTAACAACTAAAAATATAATGACCTTTAAATTACATGCATTCTCGTCATCATCTTTTAAATAATAGCTTACTTAGCTTTAATCAGAATATTCCGAAGTGTTTTATATATTTAAAAAACATTAAAGTTAATATAAATTGTATAGAAAATATTTTTTGTAGAACATAAATTTTTGCCTAAGACTGTTGTTACAGCTGTGGGATTAAAACACGACCTAGTTCTTGTTTTAGGGAGCCTGTGTAAGCTGTTGAGTTCCTGAAACCAATTCTAAATTATTCTGAAACTCTAGGCTAAGTTTTGGTTCTAATTTCTTGAGTGACCAGTTGGTTTTCTACCTAGAGTTAGGTGGTGCACAGTGTTCTTAAAGCCCTTTGTGCTCAATTTAAAGAATGATCTCTGTAAGCTGTCGTATCTAGTCTGTACTGCCAAAACTGAAGCAAAGGAGTCTAAATCAGGCAGTTATTGTGTTTATTGTGGTAGAAGTAGTAGATTGATAAGAAGAGAAACATTACCTGATTTTTTAAAAGATAGGTAAATTTATAACTTTTAATTTTTCTTTTTCAATT